ATATCCGTCTTTATTACTCGTTCTCTCATCTCATCTGGCATCAAAGCCAATCTCGAAAACTTCTTCGGTGACACAAACCCACCTAGTCTCTCTTTGATGTGGTTGAACGCAGGAACAAGGCCGCGTCTTATGAAACAACCATCGATCAGTTCCATCGAGCTTGATTCCGGTAAAGACACTGAGTCTTTCAGCTCTAAGTCGAAGCAGAACGGCGAGTCCTTCAACCACATTCTGAGAGAGTGAGCTTTGGCTACTAGAAGTCCGGTTCTCGTCTTGCAGGGAAGAAATGGAGAGCCCATCTCCCAAAGACATGCCTTTAGCGTTTTGTCCAGGGATATTCCATTGTACTCTGCGGTCCCTGTGATTAAGACTACAGACTTTGGAGACTCTGGGTATCCTTCAAGTGATGCATCCTGAAATGGGAGAAGAATTGTAACAGAGATTGAGGGTTATTGGTGTTTATGAGAATGATTTTTTCTACAAGATCTTCAATTATGTTAGAATTCTGAGGAGTGCAGAGATTTCGAGAGAGAAGAGATGATATGCCTGCATGTGGTCAAGCCATAGAGTTAGGGCAACAAGCGCTGCACCTCCCGACAATCTTCTAAAATCAGCACCCCAGTCCTTGTCCGCCACCCTGAAATCAAAATCATTCACAAATATAACAGCTTAAACACTTAAAACGTTTTCACGAAACAAGTGTTGACTAGTACAGGCACGAGCTCTCCAAAACAGGACTGACCTGAAAACATCGCGACTGAAGATACCCCTTTTGATTGCCAATTGGAATACCCATGATGCAGTAGCTCTGAGTTCAAACGCCCATAGAAGATTCAAAAGAGCATTAGCAAAATTGAGAGCAGCATTGTCCTCTATGGGTTTCAGTTTCTCGAACCATCCATCCACCTCAGAAACTAGCAACTCAGGTCTTCCAGCTAAAAGCCTGGTAAGTATCATTAGATACCAGGGGGGAAAATATAAGAATCACTAACATATGGTGATAACCAGTATTTCTAGGTTAAGTTAAGAGTAAGTTCCTGTATCAGATTTATATGATCTTAATTGTGATAATAAAAGCCATGAATCTTTTAGGACCGTATTAAGGATTTCACCAACCAGGACTAAGGAATGCATCACATCGTCCATGATTGAATTAAAGATGGTATGTACGGAAACTCAGAATGCATACCTGATAGGAAGATCAAAACCAATATCTTGAAGAGCTAACAGTAGCAGCATGACTTCGCTTTTTTCCTTGGAGAAACTTGCCGCCCTAACAAAGCAAGTCCATATCCTGTGGTCTGGCTCCAGGCCCTCTCTCTTCATTTCCAAGAGCCTTTCTATTCCACTGTTATAATCTTTGCTCCGAAGGTAAGCATCAATAACTGAACTATAAGGCAGAGTTGTTAGTTCCACGTCTGTTTCTTTCAGGTTACTAAGAACCTTTTCAGCTTCTTGGGGCTTTCCTGAAGAACTATATGAAACCATGAGTAAATGCATTGTAGCAAGCGTTGGTTCTATTCCCGCATTCTTCATCATCTGCAACAGCCTCTCTGCCTTAGAGTCGCTTCCAGAATCTCGGGATATTTTCATCATTGTGTGGTAAAATGAACGGTCTAGTTTATAACCTTTGGAGAGAAGTTCTTCAAACAGTTGTTCAGCTTGTTCAAGGCATTTTTGCTTACCAAAAGCAGAGATCAAGCTTTTGAATGTGTCCAGTTTTGGGTCCAAACCAATATTTCTCATTTGCTGCATAAGCAAGTACCCTTCTTCTGGTCGTCTGTCTCTACAATACATTATAATCAGAGTATTGTAAGTGGTTTCATCTGGTTCCAGTCCAGTTTCTTTTATCCTTTGGTACACTTGAACTGTCTTCTTGTAATCCTCGATAGCCGTATACATCTTCAGCATGGAATTCCATATAGCGAGCTCGACCTTGAAGCCAGCTTCTTCCATTTCAGAAACCATAGCTTCAGCATCTCTGACTCGTTTTCCTTTGCACAAAAGCTCAGTCATCATCCTATAAAGGCGAATCGTGGGCAAGTAACCAGCAGCCTTCATGCTATTGTATATTTTTTTCACCTCAAAGATATTTCCAACTCGGGCAAATGCGTCAAGCATCAAAAGAATGGAGCTTTTGCTAATCTTAAATCCCATATCTTGCAATTCTTCAACAACAACGTATAGCTCCTCAAGCCTCCCATCAACACACAAAGCATGCAACAGAATATTGATGGATTCAACAGTAGGAGACGGACCATCCCTCATCATAGTGTTAAATATAGCCCTTGCCCGCTCGTAACAGCCACACTCAGCATAAGCCGTCATCAAACTATTCCATGTCTTTAGATCAGGTGCTCGTCCACTTTGTCTTAAGTTGCCAACCACACTCTCTGCTTTTTGCCATAGCTTTAGTTTTCCATAAGTGTCAATGATATCAGTATATATAGGCGAACAAGCAAAGTGGAAGCCTTTTGCCTCAAACTGATTAACTACTTGATGAGCTGTTTCTGGAAAGCCAAGCTTGCAATACACAGACACCATGCTTTTACAAACACTTTCTGAAACTTCGCAGCCAGATAGTTTCAGGTCAGAGAAAACTTGAGAAGCTTCAGTATAATGTTCATTCGCTACACAGCAGTGTAGTAAAGACTCATACATGGTGGAACTGCCAGAACTCCAACCATGAACACATGCATCAGCAAAGTATTCTTCTAGAGCAGCGATTATATTATTAACCTTGCAATGTAGAACAATTAGCGCTTCATTTATAAGCCGCTTAGATCCACTTGCGTGTTCTTTCAAAAATTCAAGTAACTCACATGCTTCTGAGTGCCTGCCTGATAAACTGTAGGAACCCAAGATAGACAATAGCGTGTCGTTCTGCAGTTCATAGCCATTGGTGATAGCCATTTTTAACTGTCTAGCAGCAAGATCAAAGCATTCACCCTTAACAAGAACTGAGGAAATCTCTAGTGGGTTCATACCACACAACTCTTCCATATCTCTGATGGTTTTCTGAATGTCTTCTGGCCTGTTTTCCTTCATAAGTCCAAGGATCATCAATTCATACAGAGTATGAGAAGGTGTATGACCATCAGAAATCATATCACGATATAAAACCCACGCCTTTATAGTCTCGTTGCCTCTTAGAAACACATCCAACATTACAGAATACGCTAAGTTATCAGGTTTAGTCCCTGACCGCAACATGCAACTGAAAGTATATTCAGCCTCCTCTCGCTGCCCCGCCTTGGCATAACCGCAGATGAGAGCACTGTAGGTCTGCAGAGTTGGTTTGATCCCAACATCAAGCATCTCAGACATCAGAGCTGCGGCTTCCACGGTTCTGTTTGCTTTTCCAAGTGAATCTATCAAAACTGTGTAAGTAATCGCATCCGGGTTTCTACCAGACAAACCTTTCATGTCCTTATAAAGCTGTAGCGCAAGATCAAGTTGACCCTGCTTTCCATACATGTGAATGATCGTGTTGTAAGTCATCTCGTCTTTCCCGAACCCCATTTTCTGCATTTCCTGGTACACTTCCTTCACCTTCTCAGTATTTCTTTCTCTGGCAAAAGCATAGAGCAAAGAGTTGTATGTCACTGCATCAGGGGAATAACCTTTAAGCTCTAACTCCATGAAGAGCCTCTCGGCTTCAGCAGCAAGCCCACATCTACCATACACAGAGATCATAGCATTATAAGTCCACAAGTCAGGCTGACATCGGTGAGCTTCCATGTCTTCAAAAACCTTAACTGCACCATCCAAATTCGAATCCCGCGAACAAGCACTAAGAAGAGTGTTGTAGGTGATAGCATCAGGCCTAAGACCCGAATTCCTCACCATATCTAATAGCTCAACAGCTAGATTCGGAGTCAAGCCACCAGACTTAAGCCTAGCGTTGATAAGAGTATTGAAACTTATAAGGTCAGGAACACATCCCCTTTGACGCATTGTATCGAGCATCTCTTGTGCCTTTGAAAACTTGCCACTACGAGAATAAACTCCCATCATCGCGTTGTACACTTGTACCGTGTCTCCGACGGCTGGCTCAGCCCTGGTGAAAATCTCCACCGCAAGCGATTCCTGATTCCACCGTCCCAAAACGCCGAGTATGGCTGCGACCATTCGGGCATTGGGTGAGTGCCAGTGACGGAGATTGAGCCACTCGAAAACCTCGAGTGCTCGTTGCCAGCTCACTTGACCGACGGATTTCACGACGAAGCAGTAATCAGTGGGAGTCATCTGAACAGGCTTTCCATCGAGAATATCCGCGACGAACTGATTAGGTTTCAGGCCAAGAATCTTATCCGTCAGGAATTTCACTCTCTCTCTCCAATCTTTGGCTCTTAGCAGAGCCACCTTATTCAGCTTCTTCACTCTTCTTCTCCGACTCGCCACGGCGGTTTCTTCATTCGCCTTCTGCTGCTCGCTGGAGCCAACAGAATCGACGAATTCACCGGAATTTGGAATATCGGCGACATCGGTTGGNGAAACCGGAGAAGAAATAGGCNGCGATGGTGTTGAGCTTTTGGANTCATACGTNTCACGGAGATTCAAATGTGGCCATCGGACGGAGGGAGAAGCTCGACTGTAGGTGAATTTCTGGGTAGAAGAACTAGTGATGTTTCCTTGTTCATCTTTAATCTCGGAAACCGTCACCGGAGTGGAATTAAGGGCGGCTCGGACGGATAAGGCAGGGGATGAAGAAAGAGGAGAAGCAAAAGCTAAAGCCCCTGCAGAAACCGCCATTAATATCTCTCTCAAGCTTCATAAATATCTGTTGCCGGGATATGTACCGTTGTAGAAGATGAGGAGCGAGTAAGAGATACTGATATTTTTAAGGTTCCCTTAGAGAAAAACTTCTTGATGTCTGATAATTATACCAACTAACATCTTGCCGTTTTATGTTGACATGGTCTTAAGCTGAATCACGTGTGTTATTTGCCGAGTGTTTGGATGGCGTGCCGTTCTTTCTTGCCCTGGTTGGTAAGGTGATGAGGTCGACACATGAATATATGTGATTCGTGTAATCCAAGGCCTTTAATACAGTGATGATCAACGGATAAAACGTTTTGACATGTTTTTTTCTTTAAGAAATTAAACAAAATAGAGGTCTAATACATAAGAGCCCGTCTGGAAAAATTGGAGAAATTAAAAACAGCTAATTCTCTGGAGATTTTGTCACATTGTTCTTCTTCTTCTTGTTGGTTCTAGTAACGACCAATACCCCAGACCCTAACAACTCCATCAGTGTAACCACTGAACAGTGTGCTTCCATCTGCACTCCAGTTCAAGCTTGTGCAGTAGATCACCTGCATTTTTCATTACACATACAAATTTTGGTACATGAGCAACATCATCAATCTCTTTCTCACGAGTTATGGGTAACAACAAAGTCGAAACAGAGTAACATTTTGGAGAATATGTTATCAACAATCAAAGTCGAGACATTAACTAATGGGAAAGGATTCCCCTGAGCACACTTAAGCAACTCCTACCAAAATTCACATAACCAAAGACTGACAACTACGTTTTATGCATTCCCTAAGAAAATCAATGCAGCAAGACCGATACTTGGCATGAACATAGGACTAACACCACCAAAAAAACAGTAGAAAAAGTTCCAGAATTATATGAATATATACCTTCTTCTGGTTACCGGTTCCAACACCACCATCAGACTTCTCTGCCTCAGCCTTGAGGTCAACCTTCAAATCCTCAACAACACTCTTNCTCTCAAGATCCCATATCTTAATGCTGTTCTCTGTTGCAGCACACAACCAGTATCTGTTCGGGCTAAAGCAAAGCGAGTGAATGATTGAGCCAGCCTCNAGCGANTACAGCTTCTTNCCTTCAGCCAAATCCCACAACAAGATAACACCATCCTTCCCACCACTAGCACAAAGCGAACCATCAGGCGAAACAGCAACAGTGTTAAGGTAACCCGAATGTCCAACAAGAGAGTTCCTCAGCTTACAGTTCTGGAGATTCCAGACTTTCACGGTCTTATCCCAAGAAGCGGAAACAATGGTAGGCACAAGCGTGTTAGGGCTAAACCTCACACAGCTAACCCACTCCTTGTGACCATCACCTCCCTCGGAGATCGTGTACTTGCATTCACCGAGTGTGTTCCACAGCTTGATCGTACCGTCACGAGACGCGGANACGATCTGACGGTTATCNACNGAGAANGCNACNGAGAGNACGTCTTTNGTGTGTCCGACGAATCTGCGTGTGGAGACACCAGTAGCGAGATCCCAAAGACGAAGCTCACCGTCCCAGCTTCCGGTGAGAGCAAACTGACCGTCCGATGAGAGAACGACATCCTCCACGAAGTGAGAGTGACCAGTGAGCCTTCGCTGGGCAACACCGTAAGACTTCTCGTCTTTTGTGAGTTTCCATAGGATAATCGATTTGTCACGCGACGCCGTCACGATGATGTCGGAATTGTCGATCGGCGTTGCAATGGCGGTGACCTGGTCGGTGTGAGCACGCATAACGCCCTTCAATACGAGTCCCTCGGCCATGGTTAGGGTTTTGGGGAGAGACTCTAAGGATTCTTCTGCTTACTTCGAAAATGGCGGAACGGAGCAAGAGAATCGGAAGTCGTGTGAAATGCAGGTACTTATACTCTAGGTCAAAAAATCAGGAAACTAGGGTTTGGTGCGGTTTCTGCAAGGAGACTACTTATTTGGGCCGCAGTTACGGGCCCGTAGATGGGCTTCTCATATTTTTTGTTGAGAGCGTTTTTGGTCATTGAAATTTTCACATGTTTGGACATTCTGATCGAGTGACACAAGCTGAAATATGAGGGAGAAATGCAGAAGGTAGCAAAGGATGATCAGTTTCATTAACCTCTTTAATCTGCAAAAGGGAAATTTGAGGCTCTTGGAGCAGAAGCTTGTCTTGGTAACACCTCTCAGCACATTTAGTGTGAACTCCATTCTGAGATGGGAAAAGTCCCACCAAATTGGACCCTAACACAAAATCACAGCATTCCAGAGGTAGGGTCCGGATTTCAGTGGTGACCTGAAATCTCTAAGTGAAATATGAGCATTTGTAACCTGTCACCAAGTCTAACCCATTTGCAGCAGCAACAGTAATAGGCTTGATAGGTTCCAGCTTGCAACCCAATTCCTTAGCTACTTGCAAGTTTAAGAAATTATGAGTGCTAGCAGGATCAATCAAGATGTGTAGTATCTTCTTTACCATAATGGCCCACTACTCTCATACAATTTATAGGTAGAAGAGCCATTTAAATCATTATGAGAGATTGTAGGAGATTTATCCACCTGATCCCATAGTGGGTCATGAGTCATGGCAGCCTCTTCCATCTATAAATTTGGCAGTAAATCATCCATCGGTTTTCGACCAAAAAAAAAAAATCATCATCGGGTAATTCATCATCTTCACAGTCCATAATGAACATGTGAGATCTCCTATGCTTTAATTGATGCCCTAGTGTAAAAGCTTCATCACAATACATACAAATACCTTTGTGCTTACGTTTTTGCATCTCATGGAAGGTGTACTTCCTAGTGTTACGATCTGGAGCTGCTCTGGGAATGAAGTTTGGTTTGGCAGTCTCAGAGGGTCTAGAAGATGTCAACAATGGAGCCTTTTGGTAGTAACCGGAACCTTGAGATTTTGAAGGGCTAAAAGGAGCTCTTTGATGTGGTTTGATAGAAGTGTGTAGCAGCTCACTCTCATGGAGTTTGGCAATCCTAGCGGCAGCATCCACTGAATTAACCTCGAACTTGCGGGCATACAGTTATAAATAAAGATCCATATTACAAAGAAAGATGCTCAGACAGTGATATTTTTAAGGTTCCCTGAGAGAAAAACTTAGTGCTGTCTGATAATTTTTATCAACAAACATCTTGCCGTTCTAGGTTGACATGAGCTTAAGCAGCTGAATCATGTGTGATTGGTGTAATCCAAGACCTGATGATGATCAATGGATAAAACGTTTTTGACATGTTTTTCTTCTTCTTGAAATTAAACAAAAATTGCCAAAACAGAGGTCATGGAGTGACTAATACATAAGAGCCAGTCTGGAAAAATTGGAGAAATTAAAAACAGCTAATTCTCTGGAGATTTTTTCACATTGTTCTCCATCTTCTTCTTCTTGTCTCTAGTAACGACCAATACCCCAGACCCTGACAACTCCATCAGTGTAACCACTGAACAGTGTGCTTCCATCTGCACTCCAGTTCAGGCTTGTGCAGTAGATCACCTGCATTTTACATTACATAAATTTTGGTAAATGTTTAGAGACGTGAGCAGTCACTTTCTTATGAGTAATGGGTAACAACAAAGTCAAACCCTTGGAGCAGAGTAACATTTCAGAGACTATGTTGTCAAGAAGCTAATGAATTAATTACACTCAATTTTACTAGCTAATGGGGAAAGATTCCTCGGAGCATACTTACGCAACCTCTACCAAAATTTCAACATTCCTAAAGATTGACAACTACTTTTGGTGGATTCCCTAAGAAAATCAATGCAGCAATACCGATACTTTGCCTTAACAACATAGAACCAATCACTAACGAAAGACCAAAAGAACAGTTCCAGAATTATATGAATATATACCTTCTTCTGGTTACCGGTTCCAACACCACCATCAGACTTCTCTGCCTCAGCCTTGAGGTCAACCTTCAAATCCTCAACAACACTCTTNCTCTCAAGATCCCATATCTTAATGCTGTTCTCTGTTGCAGCACACAACCAGTATCTGTTCGGGCTAAAGCAAAGCGAGTGAATGATTGAGCCAGCCTCGAGCGAGTACAGCTTCTTCCCTTCAGCCAAATCCCACAACAAGATAACACCNTCNTTNCCACCACTAGCNCANAGCGAACCATCAGGCGANACAGCNACAGTGTTNAGGTAACCNGANTGTCCAACAAGAGAGTTCCTCAGCTTACANTTCTGGAGATTCCAGACTTTCACGGTCTTATCCCAAGAAGCGGAAACAATGGTAGGCACAAGCGTGTTAGGGCTAAACCTCACACAGCTAACCCACTCCTTGTGACCATCACCTCCCTCGGAGATCGTGTACTTGCATTCACCGAGTGTGTTCCACAGCTTGATCGTACCGTCACGAGACGCGGACACGATCTGACGGTTATCGACCGAGAAGGCTACAGAGAGAACGTCTTTGGTGTGTCCGACGAATCTGCGCGTGGAGACACCAGTAGCGAGATCCCAAAGACGGAGCTCACCGTCCCAGCTTCCGGTGAGAGCAAACTGACCGTCCGATGAGAGAACGACATCCTCCACGAAGTGAGAGTGACCAGTGAGCCTTCTCTGGGCAACACCGTAAGACTTCTCGTCCTTTGTGAGTTTCCATAGGATAATCGATTTGTCACGCGAAGCCGTGACGATGATGTCGGAATTGTCGATCGGCGTTGCAATGGCGGTGACCTGATCGGTGTGAGCCCGCATAGTGCCCTTCAATACGAGTCCCTCGGCCATGGTTAGGGTTTTGGGGGAGAGACTCTAAGGATTCTTCTTCTTACTTCCAAAAATGGCGTAACAGAGCGAGAGAATTAGAATTCCTGTGAAATGCAGGTACTTATACTCTAGGTCAAAAAATTAGGATTCTAGGGTTTGGTGCGGTTTCTGCAAGGAGACTACTTAATTGGGCCGTAGTAACGAGTCAGGTATACGGGCCGTACATGGGCCTCCATACTGTTTGTTGAGCGTGTTTGTCCTTGAATTTCAGTGTTGAGAAATGTTTGATCACAATTTCAGAAAAGAGATCAATTAAAACGAATTTGATTCAAATGTACAATAGTTTCGTAGCATACAAAGACGTACTAAATCATAAATTTGTTCAGAATTGAGTTTGTTTTGATTCTTTAAATCCGTTTTCAATCATGGAGTGCACAACACACAGTGGCTTTGTGATGACCTTGGTACACTTTCACTTCTTTTCCAGCAGGCATAGACCACAACCTAGCCGTCATGTCCGATGATGCTGCGCGTAAAACATAATCAAAACCAGATTAAAGACTGTTCTGTCTTGTTTTCGGACAAAATTTTTTGAGTGGTTTAGTTTTAAGATGGAGACAAGTACCTGTTACAAGAAATTCTCCATCTACTGAGAAGACGCAGTCCCAAACCCATCTTTGATGTCCTGTTTAGATAATAAGAGTCATGCAAAGGTTAAGAGTGAGAGTGATGGAGAAACGAATAGCTTTTCAAAAACATTGAGACCTTACCTGTTAAAACTCTCTCTAGCTTGAACCCATCGACATTCCATATTTTGACGGTTTTATCAGATGACGCGGTTGCTAGATATCTGCTAACAGATTATATAAGAGCTTGGAAGGGAGAAGATGAAGAAAATAGTTTAAAAGGGAAATAATAAGAAACACATTACTTGTTTGCAGGAGAGAGGAGACATTTAAGGATGTGGCCATTATGAGCTTGTAGCTTATGGAGGGGCTCAAACTCTGTCATCGTCTGAAAATGGCATGCCAATTACAGGAATGCAACCCATAGCATGGTTAAAGCAAGTTTGAATAACAGAAAACTACCTGTTTTCCACGCAACAAGCGCCATACATAACATGTTCCACGGTTGTTAGCAGCAACAACCATTGTCCCATCCCACATAACCGTTAGAGACCGGACAGCTGTATCAACTTCTGGTACCTATAGTTTACAAAGGAGCGATTTTACACAATCTTTTTAAATCTTATTAGGCTGCAAGCTAAGGAATCTCTCAGAAATGCAACTAGGACGAAGAAATGAAGTAAGAGGTTATGGCAATTACCAATTCACAGCTACATGAGTTTGCTCTGAGATCCCATACACGAATATTGCCGTTTTGGTCTCCGGATATCAATTCAGTCTGTACGAAAAAGGAACTTTCATGATAAAGGCATCAAACACATTGTGATAACAACTGAGACAACTATCAGAAAAGCAAATACAACTTCGTTAATTGCAGTGACACATATCTCTTAAATAAATACTAACAGATGATTTTTCTAGTTGATGTACCTGATTTGGGTGTAAAACAACCGTGTTAACTGCAGCAACACTTTCATACTCCCTTTGGCAACCTGGAGCCCTACATTTCGGTTTACGAGTCAACAATTTGTTGCTAAGAATGCAAATCAACTTAAGAATGTAACTTTCTGAGAATTTTAGTAACTTTGTATTCAATGTTCTTGTCCTTTTCTAGAATCCACACTTGAATGAATGAATGAATCAACACTCAACTACAAGAAACAAACATGAAGAATAACATAATCTACCTCAAATCCCAGATCTTAACAGTACCATCCTCTGATCCCGAATACATCCATTTCCCATCACACTGGAATCCCACTGCCATAACATTGTTGGTGTGTGAATCATAAGTCGCCACCTGATACACACACATAACCATTCAAGCAAACGCAGAAGAAATCGAAAAAAACAACAAAGAGGAGAGTAAAAAAAAGGGCATTTACAGGTTGAGGACTGCTTGTTGGAACATCAAAGAGTCGTATATGAGGATTACAAGCAGCTGCTAAATGACGCTTATCTGGGGTTATCTCTAACCTATTCACATGCTGAATATACCAAAACAAAACACAAGTGTGTTAAGTCATTTTCCAATACAAATAATCCCCAGAGTTTCTAAAGAAGAAAGCTTTTTAAGATTACCGAGTCAGGATACTGAATGGTACGGTAACATCGACCACTTTCGGCTTCCCAGAATCGGATCGTATGATCATAGCTAGCTGTTGCCAGAATCACAGAAGGCTGACTCATTCTCTCGATCAATTTTATTACGGATCAAACTAATAAATCAACCATTTGGTCAAATTTTGTTTGCTGATTTACCGGAAAAAAAAAAGAGCAAATCTAATCCCTTTCGGAGAAGCAAGAAAAGAGTACGATTTTAGCAAGAATCTTGAAACAAGGGTTTCGAGATTGAGGATCGAAAAAACAGGAAAAGAATCAATCCTCTCTACTCAGAACAGCTCTGAAGAAGAAATAGGGTTTAGCCGTTTTTAGAACAGCTCTGCAAAATTAACGCGGGGATGTTTTAGTATAAATGTATATATGTTGGGGTTAATGTAGTAGTGTATACATAACTAAGGGGCCATTTTGATATATTTTGTTTATATCTTTTTTTGTTTTTTTGTTGGTCGGCAAACATATTATTAAGCCCAAAGGCAAGAAATCTACAAATGGTTTGTGAAATAACGAGCCCATTCTTTACATGTAATCGAAAGCCCAAAACCCAAATGATTAAGACAAATGACAAGATAAGGTTGAGATAACAATTGAACACGTGTTTTATAAAGAACGCCTGATGAACCACCGAAGAAGCAACACCAGGAGAAAAATCAGGAAGCTTCATCGCCGACAACACCCAACTTGATGTAGTCTTTGATCCTTGCACATGCAAGAGTAAAGCGACAAAACCGGACGTAGCCGGAAACTAGATCTGATAATTGGAAACCAAGATCTACATCGAAAATAGCAAAAAAACAAAAGGAAACCTAGATATACACAAACCAGACCGATGATCGTAGCTAAAGGAGGCTACAATCACCGGCCGGATCTTGCTC